TGTCGATCAGTGACTGATAATGAGTGTCTTAAGACAAGTGTAATTCAGTCTGAAATATAAATGAGTCCCTGAGTTCTATATTCTGGGATTATACCTTAGGCTAAGAAAAGTTCTCTAACATGTGGCTGACAGCTCCTAGGCAGACTACTTGGTTCAAAGTCTTGAATGATGTACAAAATAATTATTATAGTACATACATGTATTTAGGGTTTTTCTCTGATGTTAGATCATGTGTTTGTGAATCTCCACCCAGGTCTGGTTGCTGACAGTTCCCAGGAGGACTACCTGGGTCCACTGGTGCCGCTGGAGCTGGTGCTGCCCCCTGGTGACGACATCATGAACATCATCTTCAGCAAGTTCATCACTGGAACTGCCAGGACTGATGGCATAGAAGGGTAGGTTATATGGTCATAGTATATATTGTACAGTGTATTACAACTGGTACAATAGCTCAATGGGGAAGTGTGCTTGCTTTGTAACCAGGAGGTTGTGAGTTCTATCCCTGACCAGATCATACCAAGGACTTTAAGAATGATACATACTGCTTTCTCTGCTTGGCACTCAGCATCTATGAGAAAGAGTATGGGAAGGTCATGCCACTACCAGCGGGCTAGTGGTAGTGCTGTTACAGTAGTTATTGCACAACTGTGTGGCCCAGGGGCTATAGAAATGAGGATGGGCAGCACCCCTATGCTCCACATGGACCTATTGTATGTTGTATAGAACTAATATGGCTGGTTGAATGGCACTACAAGTGGCTTTTGGCAATTTGATAGAGTTTTGTTGTTGACCATGTTTGATACTGACTGTAGAATGTTGTCACCTTCTTCCCTACAGTTACATGGAGACGGGTCTGGAGCAGTTGTCCTCCTCTTTGGGTCGGTTCCTGTCTAACTACAACGCCAAGACCACCCACAAGCTGGACATGGTGTTCTTCAAACAGGCCATCCACCACATCGTCAGGCTGACTCGGGTACTGGCTACAACCGGAGGACATGCGCTGCTCATCGGTAGGACAGTTTTTTTTAGCCTGGGTGCCATCCTTCGTAGTTACCACTGGCTCCCTAATGTCGTGGTAGCAAGCAACATTAGGAAGCAGACAGAAACTTCAGGCTAAGTCCAAACAAGTAAGGTGAATGACCTGAACCAGATGTCTGTCACCATGGTAACTAATGTTGGGTTACATCATGTTGCAATTTTGTAGCAGGAGGGATTCAGACTCCTGTCCGATCATATATATGAATGTGTTTGAGTAAGAATTAACAGAGCAGACTATAAACATTATGCATTTGCTTTGCAACTGTCACCTTTTTTTTAGTTCTGATTTTATCTCTTGTGTCTGTTACCATGCAGGTACCAGTAACTTCACCGGAAGGGTCTCGACCTCCAAGTTGGCTACATTTATCGTCCGTGCCAAGTTCTTCCACGCCGTTCCGGCGAAGGACCGGGCTGACAACCGCTCCAACCTGCACAAAGTCCTGAAGGAGGCATTCTTCGTGTCAGGGGTTCAGGGGAGGGAAGGAGTGCTACTGGTGGGGGAGGAGATGGGAACAGAATGTCTGCAGGTTAGATTTCTTTCTTATTTCTGGGAGTGGAAGTATTGTTTGGGGTGGCTTTGGGGTTTTGTGTGTCCTGGAAGAAATTATGTCTGGATATTTTAACTGACATCCATCACTTTTCTTCAGTGTTATAAACTTTGAGGTGAGGTTATCATGGCAGAACTAGTCAACACTTATGTCAAAAGAACTAGAAAATATGGTTGAACATGACAAGCCACTGATTTGTGTCATTTCAGTGTGCCCAGCTACTTAGCATGTGGAAGTAGTACTATAAATTACAATGTTTGATATACTTTTTGCTCGGTCAACTATAATGATAATACTTTTTGTTCTGTCAATAAAGTTTCTTATGTTGCCCTCCAGGATATATGTTCCCTGATGTCTGAGGGGACATGTCCAGGCCTGTATGACGATGACGAGCTCATGACCATAGCCAACCAGATCATGCAGGGCACCGTCCCGGGCAAGCACAGCGACAAGTTTGAGCTGGCACTGGAGCGGTACCACAAGCGAATCCGCACCAACCTGCATGTGGTCGTCACCATGGACCTGACGGGTACGTTTTCTCTCAGTATTTCTCAGTGGATGACTGTACTGTAATGTTTGAAAGTTAAACATATTGTTTTTGCTCAGTTTCCTCTTCAAAATAAGGTCAATGACCTGAACCAGATGTCTGTCACAGTGGTAACTGATGTTGGGATACATCATGTTGCAATTTTATAGCAGGATGGATTTGGACTCCTGTCACCATATGTACATATATGAATGTGTTTGAGTAAGAATTACATGTAACAGAGCAGACCATATGCAAAGGTAATATACAGATTATATCATTTATTGGATTAATTTTGAAGATTTGAAATACATGTACTATATCCAAACATAAAAAGTAATTTTTAAAGTGCATGATGCTTCTAGCAGCCCTTTCACAGGTCAGACCTAGTCAAATACCAGCCAACTACAGTCGACTTTGCTCCTGACCTACCCCTAACCATGGTTGGGGGGAATTTGACAGTATTCGGGAGGACACATTCGCTTATGTGTGACAGGGGCTTAACACATTTAACACTTGAAGAACCTCTCCTCAGGTCCTGTTCCCCTGTACCACCGGCTGAGACAGTTCCCCACCCTGCTGCTGCGCTCCACATGTGTGGACATGTACAGCAGGTGGACCTTCGAGGCCAGGGTCAACTGTGCCATGAACTGGATCGCTCAGGACAGCTCCAAGGTTTGTTAGATGTTTATGGGTTTTGGTTTTGTTGGTTGTCTGACTGTGTTTGTGTGCGTGTGTGTGTGTTTGTGTGTGTGTGTCTTTGTGTGTCTGTGTCTGTGCATATGTATGTGACTCTGTATGTTTACACAGTGTTTCTGTATTTGTGTGCATTTCTGTTTGTAGTGAGTGTAAGTATGTGAAAGGACTGAAGTAAGACAAAATGCTACCTCTGATTGATTTTCACTACTTTCGAAGAATATGAAGCAATTTCAGTACTTACATACAAGTACACAAAATGTATATTAATTAGCAATTCCTAATCAAAAGACACAAGAAAAAAGTCTTAGATTAAAATGTCAATCTTCATTATGTAATTCTCTCCCCCCCTGCAGAGGTCAGACATCCTGTGGGAGATGCTGGGCTCCACCACAAGTCTCACGTCCGTGGCCCACGCCATGGCGTACATCCACCGCTCCGCGCAGGCCGCGCTCCAGCGCTGTTTCCATGACAACCACCAGCTCCGCAGGCTCTTCACGCCGCTCACCTACATGGAGTTCATCGACCTGTTCAAGAGCATCACAGCCAAGCTCAGCAGGGAGGAGAAGGTGAAGTTGGCACACAAATTTTCAAATCTTTAAAACTTGTCGGTCAAAATTCACCCCCTAAAAGCTGTCACACAAAATTGACCCGGGCCTCTAAAAAGTGCAGTCTGTCTTTTTTCCTGCAGTAATATTGTCTTTTTTCTTCACCTATAATGGAGTGAAGTATTGTTTTTGGCATGTCTGGCTGTTGCTGTCATTTGACCACAAAAATGACTTGCCCTTGGTGCTGAAGTTAGGATTGTTGCAAATGTCTGTGCATCAGCTGTTGTACCTGCTTTAATAACAAAATTCTTTTTTATCCTTTCTTTTCTAGGCCAGCGTAGTAAAGTATGAGGGATGCTTGATTAAAGTCCAGGAGGCCCAGGCTCCATAGCCTCTCAACAGGCCTTTGTATAAACTTCTATCCTTTAAAAAATTTACCAAACCTTTTTTTATCCTGTCCTTACTAGGCCAGCATAGCAAAGTATGAGGGATGCTTGAGTAAAGTCCAGGAGGCCCAGGCCACCATAGCCTCTCAGCAGGCTGATGTGGAGGAACTGTTACCTCGGCTGGATGAAGCCAGGGAGATCACACAGGAATGGGTCTACAAAGTAGAGGAGGGAAGAGCTTCTTACTCCAAGGTAGGCTGATAGCAAGACTGCATATATGCTCCTTATATTGAATCTAGAAATAGTTACATTGTGTAGATAACACAATTAGGGCAATATACCTGATTCAATAAAGATAAGCAAACCAGCAGTAAGATCCACCAGATTGTAACAACTGAAGGTATTACAGATTTACTATATGTATAATGTCAAAATATTTTATGTGAAAATATATTGGACCTCTACTTTGAGCTATCATTCTTGAACAGCAATTTTTTGTCTCTGTCTCTTCCTTTGTTGGTTCCCTCCCACAAGACTTCTAGACTTCTCATTCAGTTTTGCTGTTTCTAAGTTTCTGTATGTTATGGTTTATTGTGGTGACAACTATTCTTCCAGGAGAGAGCAGAGTACACATACATGTATGTTGTAAGGACATAGGAATACATCAACATACAATTACAAATGTACATAAGATTACATCACTTAAAATTATTTAAAAAAACTGTATGTTGTTCCCTTCAGGCCCTTCAGCAGTGTAAGGAGGAGGAAGACAGGATTGAGGTGATGCAGGGACCTCTGGAACAACTCAGACAGCTGGCACAGGCAGAGTTTGACAAGGTTTGTTTGTTGGTTTTGCCTATTGAGTAACTGGTAAACTAGGGGTTTAATCTGCTGACATACCCTTACTCCTTTTGATAAGTGCAGTGGATCTTTAGCATGCTCAAGGCATGCCTCTCCTCAAACACAGGATCTTGGGTTGTACTTTCCATTTGTGAGGATGTTCCTAACTGTAACAAAGTACTCAATTTCACCTGAGGAAAGTGAGGAAATACTGTATATAAAATTGTTAAGTGCCTTTCCCAAGGGCACAACATTGGGGCCTTCCAGGGATTCAAACCCAGAATCTTCTGATTCTAAGTCAACAACCCTAACCACAAGACCACCTTGCAATCCTTACTCTCCAGGTGAACCCAGCATACACAGCAGCTGTGATAGCTCTGCGGTCGCTGTCTCACTCTGATCTGGATGAGATCAAGAGCTACCGCATCCCCCCACCTGGAGTTGTGCTGGTTGTTAATGCTCTCTGCATCATCTTTGGGGTGGAACTCGAGTAAGTGTTTGTCAGCTCATGATTTCCATTCTGAAAATTTTTTTCTCCATAACTTTAAAACTTCATGTATTCAATGTACTTGGTCATCCCAAGTACATGACAAATCTACTTTAATGTGCTATTTTATAGCTGTGAATATTCTCTTTGGGAGATTTTAGCTTACCTTTTCTAGAATGATAACTATAATAATTGTGATCTTTAACTGCAGTTGGGAGCTTGGACATCAACTTATTTCTCGTGGAAACTTCTTTGAAGAGCTTGAGTTCTACGACAAGAACAACATGCCAGAGGCAGTCTTCCAGAAGCTGAAAGTCTTCGTCAGGGATCCCCACTTCGATCCACGCGTGATCAAAGGATCCAGCAAGGCTGCAGAGTCCATCTGTATGTGGGTCCATGCGGTGTTCCAGTACGCTGCCATACACAGGGACATCAAACCCAAACTGGAGAAACTGGCAGAGGCTGAGAAGGAGATGAACAATGTAGGGAAAGATTTTCAGCCATTTTTGCATGTTTAGAAGCCGCAAAATAGTGGCACGTTTTTTTGTACTCCTCAATAGTTATGTTTACCCAAGGAAAACATATTGTTTTCGCTCAGTTTCTTCTTCTCCAAACAAATAAGGTCAATGACCTGAACCAGACGTCTGTCACCATGGTAACTAGTGTGGGGTTACATCATGTTGCAATTTCATAGCAGGAGGGATCTAGACTCCTGTCACGATATATATGAATTATGTTTAAGTAACAATTAACAGAGCAGACCATTTGCGAAGGTACAAATTATGCATTTGCCTTCTAGTATTTTTTTAACTCTGAATATCCAGCGCAATGTTAATCACAACAATCTTGCTGTACTTGCTGTTTACAGGCGCAGGCAGCTCTGGGAACGAAGCGTGTGCATGCTGAAGAGGAGAAGAACAACCTGGAGTCCACCATCAGGTCCCACACGGACAGCGTCAGACACTCCAAAACCATCGAGAGGCAGATCAAAGTTCTCAAGGACAAGACTGCCAAGTGTCAGAACGTGCTGACTAACATGGAGGCTCCCATCTCTATCTGGAATGTACAGCTGAGGAAGGCACAGAAAAGACTGTCGACTGCACCAGGTACTGTACATGTTGTGCTGTACCTACATGTACATGTACAGTATACAGTCTTTCTGTCATTTGACGAAATTTTGCCGCTCATGATTGACAAAAACTTTGCCAAAGCTGTCGTATTTGACGGACAAAAATTGGTGTGTAATGATATGAAAAGAGATGTCATTAAAGCAGTATAGGTGAGGGGGGTGAAGTCGTCAATCTCTGATTGCCTTGTTTGTACCTGTTTTCAGGTGACTTTGATCATCACAGGAGTGTGTGTTTGATATCTGGGAAACTATCACCAGAAGGGTTGCAAAGCTGTATGGATGAAGGGGTGAAGTCTGCCATCTCTGATTGCCTTAATTGTATCTATTTGCAGGTGACTCCCTGATCACAGCAGCCTGTGTGTGTTACCTGGGGCCGTTTGACAGCATCACCCGACAGACTCTGCTGCAGGACTGGCTCCACCACTGCCGGACCGGTGAGAAGATCAAGAGTTACAAGAAGCAGATGATGGTGCCGTCTTCTCTGGTCAACTCACGAGAAGACAGAGGCAAGAGATGGGGAAGAAACAGCCGCAGAAGCGCCAGACGGGAGGAGGAGGTTTCAGATGAACAGGTAGCAAAGGATCGTTGATTTGATGACGATTGAAAATTGATTGATCGCTTTATTGATTAATTTGATGATGATTGATAAATTCAGATGAACTGCTATGTAGTCATGTAACTTATACTAGAAATACAGCAGCACATTCAGTTGATTTGATAAAAATTGATAGATTTACTGATTGAGGAAACTGTTCTGTGGCTCTCTGCCATGATCACTCGCAGTGGCTGGCAACAGCTGATCCACAACTTACAGCATCTAACTTTTGAAACTAAGAGAATAGCTGCTGCTGAGGCAAAAAGAAGGGCTGGCAAAGCTTGGCAACAAAAGGAATGACTGTACCAATAGACTTGCCATGTTCTACAGAGTGGCTTCCAACACATACATGTATAGCACACTGTTAAGCACCTCATCATGTTCAGTACCAAGGACAGGACTGTGATTGTGTTCACAAGTTGGCAATGACTGTCATGTTTTATTCATCATTTTTCTCAGACTGTGTCAGCCAACATCGCTGTACGTGACAACTTCACCCTGCAGTCCACCCTGAGTACCACAACAGAGCAGGTCTGTATACATATAGTTGTTTGATAACTGCATTTAGCTTTAACTACTATCCGAATCCCACAAATTCTGTTTGTTTGATCATTTTGTACATGTACATCACTCTTTACAGCTACATGAACTCTCCAATTTTTATTCCATGTTTTGGATTTTTGCATGGAGGTATTTTATACCACGGAGGTAGAAAAGGGAGATACATTACATACATACAAATTTACAAGTCTGTACAATTCAGCCCTTAGCATGCCAACAGACTCTTTATTCCTTTTGTGGAAAATAAACCAGTCTACTACTACTATAACATGGCATGATAATTATTTCTCAATATGAATTCATTCTTGTGATTGCATCGTTCCCACACAGGTGATGTGGAGGCAGATGGGCATGCCCACTAACCTGACGGCTACCCAGAATGCCCTGCTGATGCGCTCCTGCTGGCAGAACCGCAAGCGCTGCTGGCCACTGCTCGTGGACCCTGACAGCCAGGCCGAAACCTGGGTACGAGCTCTGCAGGAGACCACCACATCCTGGGAAGGAGAGCAGCAGGCGGCAGAGTTGGCTAAAGATGGTACGAGTGGATTTTGTAATAATAACACTTCTTATTACCTGTCTTGAAAGTTCATCTGTGTTAGTAGAAGTCATTATGAATAAATCCAGTTTGAACTGCAATTTCCAACTCAAGAAATTGGACTTACTTATTTTGACTGTGTAAGTAAAAATTTACTCCAGTCAAGAAATGAGCAATCCACTGCTTCTCTGATATCACATTATGCAGGTGATACAAGTAACTTAGCAAGCATAGGTTGCAGAAAATTTGTGGCACACCTGCAACCATCCCTTGACAAAGACAAGGGCACCACAAACATTATGTAGGCTTTGATCGACTGGCTCTAATGCAAAGGGGGTATACTTATTCGAGTGACGGGCAGTTTTCCAATAATACAGGTATCTATATGCAAACTCTAGATATAAATTTTTTCCTACCTTTGTGTCACACATGTCAAAATGCTCTAATAGTATGTTTTTCAAACACTATTCAGGGTCCAGACCCAGCAGTACCACCACCCAGCACACCAGGGACCAGTCTCTCCCCGACAGCAGGGACAAAACCAGACCAAGCTCTACCTTGCAGCAGGAGGACGGTGCTGCAGGCTTCGGAGACAGCCGATCCACCACCCCACTGGCCGACCGGGACACGCCGTCTTCCCAGCGCACCCCCGACTTCCAGCTCGATCTGGGCATGTACATGGATCGTCCCATCTCCCCTCCAGAGGGGGGTGTGGAGGTGGTTTCTGCAGACGACCCCTTCCTGGAGGCGAGTCTGATCAGGGCGGTAATAACGGGTTACTGCATCCTTGTCACACATGTGGAGAGAACAGGCATCACCAGTCCAGTTCTCAGGAAGCTCTTGGACAGAGCAACATTGGAGAGCAACAAGGCTATGAAACTTGGTGACCAAGACATCCCCTTTCACCCAGGCTTCTGCTTGTATCTCAGTATATCGTCCCCCTTGTATCTAAAGGGAGCTGGTATGGCAGAAATTCCAATGCACAAGACAGCCGTTGTTGATCTGTCTGTCAGTCAAGCAGGGGTGGTCAAACTCTTACTGAAGGAGACCCTGAAACTCGAAAAGCCCGAGTACGAAGGACAGCGACGTTCTTTGCAAGCAGATCTGATTCAGTCCGAGAAAGACCTGCAAGAGGAGAAAGATCACATGATGCAGAAAGTCTTGGAGCTTCAGACTCCCATTCTGGAAGACCCAACAATGTTGGATGCGCTACAGTCCTTCCAGGAGCGAACGCTGGAAATTGACGCTACGATCGCCGAGACTCAGTCCCTGCAAGCTCAGGTTGGTGAGAAGAAGAGAGACTACCAACCGGTTGCGTCTCATGGCGCCATCTTGTTTGAAGCCATCCGTAGAATCGCAACGATCCATCCGATGTACCATTACCCGCTCACGAACTTCATCCAGATGTTTATCACCTCCGTGAAGTCGCGGCAGCGTGGGAAGGGCGCTGGAAACGTTGGCGCCATCAAGGCCCGCGTGATCGAGCTAAACGATTGCGTCACGCGCGTGTCGTACTCACGGCTGGAGAGGAGCATGTTCTCCCAGCATGCTTTACTCTTCGCTCTCCTCATCGTTGTGGACAAGATGAAGGAGGCGGGAGAGATGACGGAGGAAGAGTGGGCGGTGTTCGCCAACGGGATCGAGGGACTAGACGATCTGCAAAAGGACAGCTCAAGTGGTCCCTACACCAGTCTTACAAAGCCTGACTGGTTGTCGTTTGAAACATGGGTTCAGTGTGCCCTGTTGGAAAGCTTGTCGTGTTTCCAGGGGCTACGGGAGTCTCTGTCCCGCCACAGCCAACACTGGCGGGAATATTTCAGCTGCCCTCCCATCCTGCTGAATCCTGTCACAGGACCAACACTGCTGAACTTGAACCTTATACAGAAGGCAATCCTCTGGAGAATCATCAAACCGGAACAGGTGAGGCATGGTTTAACATTACCTAGCTCTCTTTAGGTTTAGCATATTAATGTATTTATTGAAAGATTAGCAAGGAATTTACTTTTAAAGTTTTCACATTTTTAGAACATTAGAACTACCAATAGGAGCTCAGACCATAAACTTTTGCTAAATTGAACATAAAGTGAATTATAGTACTTTATGCCAAAAAAAAAGGATTTGAGCCTTGACTATACAATCCCCATTATTTTTCCTATGCAGATGATTGGTATATCTGTGAGTCCCTGGTGCAGGTAATTTTAAACGTTGCCTGCATCAGTTCAGGAATGCCGAAAAAAGTACTAGTATGTCGAGCCCTGGACTATACAACCCCCATTGTTTGTCCTATGCAGATGATCGGGATCTGTGAGTCCCTGGTGCTGTATAAGCTGGGACACGTGGTGAGACGTCCTGATGCCAGGAGTGTGGAGGAAGCCTTCCTTGCCTCAGAACATCACACACCCATCGTCCTACTCTTACCTGCTTCTCCTGATGCTGCTGATTCATACAACAGCTGTAAAGGTACGTCTCAGCAAGGTCAAGTTTCTTGAGGTCTTCTTCCTGGTTGTTACTGAGTATCTTGGCAGCTATCACAACTCTGCCAGGTACATGTATCATATGACCCCAATGATTGTAGAAGTTCATACTAGCCACCCACTTTAATTTGTATTAGTTAGGTTAAGCCTTATGAAAATGTAGTTAGTATGAACAGTATTTAGTAGTTTCCATACTTTGTACCTTGTACAACTGTTGTCCAATAAAGTTATCTATGACTGCTGCTTTAAAGACAGCATGAAACATCAGTAGTCCCTGAGGTGTGCACACCTTAGTTTAAATATCCAGGTATTCAAGGCAAATTTGTCAGTAACCTTTTGATAAATGTCACCTCAGGTTATGCCTCCATGGATCCTTTCTGGGAGATCAAGAAGCTTGCCAAGGCTCATGGGATGCATGGTAAGGTGCAGCAGGTGATGCTGGGATTGCGTGAGGAGATGTCTGGTGCGGCTGCCGTGGTGGAGAGGGGCATGGCGAAGGGGCACTGGGTCGTCTTCAACAACTGTCAGATGGCAGACGGCTGGAGTCACGATGTACTGGAACTTGTGAAGGTAAGGCCATGCCAATTTGTTTCCATCATCTGTATTCTGTAGCCTTAAAATACATTCTAAGGCAGTAGAACACAGTTTTTGCCCTATGAGGATTTCTATCGTTAAGGACCCCAAGGTGACTTACATTGACGTGTTAAAAATCGTAGTAGGAAACACTTAAGAAATATGAATATAAGGGCATGGTAACAAAGATGGGGGGCACAGACTTTCTGAAACCTATGATCCACTGCTAACTGAGTTACGTGTATATGCATCATCCGCATAACATGACGTCACAGAAGTGGTGGATTGCTCATTCCTTGACAAAGACTGGAGTTGTACTGTTGAAATTTCAGGTAAGACCAATTTACCATGTTGGAAAGTACAACATACAGTTTAAACTTGCTTTAGAATGAAATTCAAGCATGTACATGTATTCTTTTCATACAGACCATAGTGACGTCTGCAGCTATCACTGTGTCCCTGCAAGAGGAGGGTGACACAGCAGATGAAACAGACAGCCAGGATGGGGAGACTGTCATGGAGAGCCCCAAGATGAACCCCAACTTCCGACTGTGGCTGGTCACAACTGCTGAGGCCTCCACGTCTATACCAGGTCAGACATGTATATATTGATGGAGGACAGACACATGTATCACCATTACGTTTGCCCATTGCAGGCTATAGTTGAATACTATTGGAAAAAAGTCTCATTAAAGTACTTTCCCACATTTCACTTTCAAAACATAATTCTTCTGCACAGGAAAGTCACAAGGTCCTGTCCTCCAAACTTTTTAAGAAAACGGGGTTGACCATGGACAACAACAACTGACGTATAACTGTAACAGTGAACAAAGTTAACCCTACGATTGAACTCAATTTCTCACTTTTGATGTATCCACCCGCCCTGGGCAGGCAAGACCTTAACTACTCAGATCTGTTATTACAGACACAAAACTGGTGAAATGAACAAAACTTGACCAAAGTAGGTGAGTTTATATTGTTGCATTTGTACAGGAGTTGCCCTGCAACATGGAGTGAAGCTAGCCTATGAGCTGCCCCAGGACATCCCTGCTACTGTCGGGACAACCTACAGCAACGCTGTGTGGGCTGCACAACCTCTACATGCGGGCAGCCAATAAGGGTTTGTGTACTTCACTCATTCGTTTAGTCACCTCAAGAGTGTGTGTGTGTGTGTGTGTGCATGCATGCGGGTGGTGTTCAGCACCAAGGACAGATATGTTTGCATGTTTGTGTGTGTGAGGACGGTGTTCCGTACCAAGGACAGGTTTCTTTGCTTATGTCTAACACCATGTGTCTATGTGTGAGTCTGTGTATGTGTGAGTCTCTGTGTGTACAACAAGGGTGAAGCCATACATGTATATCAGACTGTCCTGTTGACTTTGACGTTTGATTGACAGGGTGACCAGCTGCGACCGTTGCTGACGTCCCTGTCCCTGGCACACTCCCTGCTGCTGCACCGTCGGAAGTACGGCATCGCTGCCTTCACAGCGCCGCATCACTGGAACCAGGCCAACCTTAATGCTGCTGTGGAGCTACTACAAGGTATTACAAACAAAAAAACATACAAACAAGCAAACATATGAGCAAACAGACATACAAACAAGGGCAACCTCAATGCTGCTGTGGAGTTGCTACTAGGTATTACAAACGAACAAACAAACAAACAAACCATACAAACCTTAATGTTATGTACTTCTATTGCTTCAGAATTTCTGATAAGCACTCAGCACTGGGGAAGTGTTCGAAATTGAACACACAGTAGACTTAAGCCCCTTCGTTGCTGTAATTAGTTTAGTCCTAAGGAAAGCTCTGTGTCCCCTCCCTCCAGGACTGCTGCAGGGTTGTTACCCAGACGAACCTGATGGATTGTCAGAGGGCTATCAAACTCTGGTGGGAGACCTGGTGTACGGAGGCAGGGTCACTGACCTGATGGACATGGATGTGGTGACCTCCATGGTCAAGCAGTGGACTGTTGTGCTGGACCCAAACAACACTGAAGTAAGGATGTTTGAACTTTGTTAACTTCCTTGCACAGCAATTGTACAAGGTAAAAAGAAGATATGGCATATACTGCTATTTATAATGAGAAAATGTACCTTACAAAAGACTGTAATATGGTAGGAAAATGTACAGTCATTGGTGGAATTTGTAGTGTTTACATTATTAGGCACGCATTGAAAATCAGACTTTAAAGACGGTCATTTTAAAACCTTTCTTGCATGACCTTGAGTCCATTTTAATCTAAACTCTAATATTTTGCATTACAGAACGGCCCCATTGTTTCAGCACTGTTGTCAAATGTGAAGGGAGTGATGCATTCTGGGCCACAAGCGTCTCAGAACAGGGCTGACCTGAACTCTGACCCTACGCTCGTGGGTCTGGACGCCTCGGCTGCTCAGGTGTTTCACCTGCAGAAGAGCAGGTAAGAGTCGAACGTTCATCTCCAAGCAGATGTTGAGGTGTTTTCGGGGCTGCCTACATTACTGTAGCTTCTCTAATTGTACTTTCCATTTACATGTTACGTTCACATTACAATCGATTGCCGTTCAAATTGAAATCAAAATCTGTGTATTTCCAGATTGGAATGCATCCAAAAGCTGTTCCATTCTCTTTTAAATCACAATCATTCATTTCTCATGAAAATGCATCAAGGATCCTTGAACACATGTAGGTGTTTGTATGTGGTTTGTATCATAGATAACCACATGGAATTGCAGCTGGCTATGAAACTACTATTAAGGACTTAAAAGCTAAATTTCGTCCCACATAGGAACATGCTGGATGAGCTAGAGATGATCACGGGGGTCCATGGCATCAGGAGTCCGTTCCTGAGTCAGTACAACGGGACCCTGGCCCTGCTGGAGAAACTACAGTCATACCTGCAGCTGGTGCCTGAACTTCAGCTGAGGCAGCAGGAGAGGGTGGCTGGGAGGACTGATTTTGTACAAGGTTAATACTTTTACATTATATGTTTTATAACCATCAGCTATCACCCTATATATGCCGGTACATATTTCACTCCATATAGGTCTATGAAGGATTATACATTCAATTCCAGTATCCCAAACTAAAGTGTCAGTAAATGTCACACATTTGCACTTGGCCACTTCGTTTCCATAGGAGGACAGGTGGAACTATTTCTTGCTTGGCTTAAAAGCAAATGCCCAGCTTATTTTACTTGATGGTGGGTGAGCTTTTGTGCAAAGGCTAAGCTCAGATACGAAATACTTTTACTGCAGAATGTTACTCAAAGCGGCAACTGAAGTTGAGGGCTTTGATTCGAGAGCTTCTCCAGAAAGTTACAAAATGCACTGTGAGCGTCTAGTCTATTTACTTGTTGATAATGTACAATGCATTGCTTAAGACTTTCCAATCTTAAAACATAGAACTGATGAAATGTTTCTATTCCAGAGTTTTTCACCACTGAAGTCAGCCACTACAAGGCCCTTCTCCAGCGTGTGACAGCTGACGTGGGGACGATGCAGAGTGCCCTGAAGGGCGAGGTGGGCCTGACAGCCGAGATGGAACAGCTGCTGTCAGCCGTGGTACAGCACAGGGTACCCCAGTCATGGCTGGTCAACAGCTACCCAACAGCCACTGGACTGGCAGACTGGGTACGTGGTAGTTTTGTTGTCGTTGTTATTATTCATGACCATCAAAATTTAATTTAGTCATTATTATTCAATTTGCCATTTCTTTTATCTGATTTGAAAGACAACATATGGCTATGCAAGGACATTATTGTATACGTATCAGGATATGAAAAAAACCCGAATGCTCCAGGACCTATTTTATCAACAGTTGAAAACTTTCCTTGTCTTTCTAGTTGTGACTGTGTTTCTATTCATCAATGCACAGTTGCAAATCAATTTTTAATACAACATCTCACATCTCTGAATGTAACATTATTATTTGCCACTTAGGTTCAGACCCTGCAGGCGAGAGTAGAGGCCCTACAGCAGTACGTACAAGCGGAGGGAGGCCCAGCGACCGTGAACTTGGCTGCCTTTATAAACCCCGTCGGTTTCCTGAACGCAGTTCTGCTGCAGCACTGCAGACAACAGTTCAGGGATGTGCAGACCTTCCAGTACCAGGTCAAGGTCAGTCAGCGTTATTCTAATAGCCTGGATTAATAGTGGTTTATTGGTCAAACATTGCCTGTGCAATCGCAGCCTTTGAGCGCTGAATTGTTGCAGGGTTTACAATCACATACTTTTGTAGAATTGTCGCAAGGGTCTGTGCGGCTGCCATTCGGCGCCACCAGGTGACCTCAATACAACTTTCCCTAACCAAAATTAGTTGGATGGACATGACAATTGTTACAGATACAGTCACAAAAACAGATCTGTATGATGCACATTTCAGACATGCTTTAATCAAGAGATATACACATCTTGTGGTCTTTGTAGTTCAAGAAACTCATCTTTCATAGTGTTGAAACTTGAAAGTCTGTTTGAATGACTGCAATCCTGATATGTGCACACTTGTCCCTTTAGGGTCATTAACAGTACATCGATCATTCTGTGTTCTCTGTAGGTTTTGGATCCAAGTGACCTTGCCATCAACCGACCTTCAAGCGGAATCTACCTGTCTGGTCTGCACGTCCATGGTGCATTGTGGGATGGCAAAAATGGCGGACTCCAAGAGCCGCCCAGGGAGCACGTCACCTGCAGTCTTCCCAAAGTTTGGATGAAAATTGTGGACACAAGTTTGCACAAGAAGGCTACTGTACCCACATATAATTGTCCCATGTACATCTCTGCACCCAGGAATGACATCCTCGGTGCAGATAATGTTGTCATGCACCTGGAAATGCCTACAGCATCTGATACAGGTGTTTTGATTAGGAGAAGAGTATTTGTAACTTCAACCTTGTAAAATGTCCATCCAGATATCCATCCCATTCATACTGCTCAATAGGGGATGTGGTAAGGGACAGTTATTGTACATATTTATGTTTCATGCTGTTTTCTGCAGTTTTACGACTTATTGTTTGTATATTATTTTGCCAAATGTGGAGAAAACATTGAACAGCGATCAGATTATTTCACGTTCATATGTGAACATTGAAGTTTGTATATGTTGATATTGTATTGAATCCATATAAATGTATAGCAGACACATGCAGCAGAGCCATTTTGGGTGTATGTAACAGATACTAAAGTGAACAAAATGTTTCAACAAGTCATCACAGAAACTGTATGTTGAAATACCTTTTGTACTTTTTAATAGTTCATGTAGAGACTTCTACAAGAGTGCAAATCAGAATTTCCTAATTGTATGTTTATAGGTAATATATTTGAAGGATTCTGTACAGATCTTTTGTAGCTAAACTGTATATGGGTGGTTTTGGTGTACATGTACATGTATGGCTTTGTAAATGGTATATGGTGAGCAGTGGGAAAAGACTCGGAAGAGATTGTGAACACAAAAATAAAACATTTTTCAATGTGCCAAGACACAACAGTACCTCCTGTGGTCCAAGAGGTCTTACCTAACAACAGCTACCTGATTTTTCTCATTATATCAGTTTAGATACCAACTTATAGGCAGGTTACTGAGGATGCTGTCTGAAACATTGGAATCTTCAGAGAATTTAGCTTGAGTTGCTAGTATTACGTGTTGTTCCCCCTTCTAGTATGCATTGTGTCAACGTATTCACCATCTGTGTCGCTCTCGCTCGTGTCGTTCTCGAATACGTAGCTGCTGTCTGTGCTGTAGTTCAGCTTCGGCACGGTAGGGGGCGCCCTGGCACGTGGTCGGGTGGGAAGGCCGCTCCTCCGTGTAACAGGCGGCAGTCTCGGCTGAGGTGGTTGGTTCCTGGAGCGTGGCAAATGGCGTGGAGCCTCCCTCACGGGCGGTAACGGGTTCCTGTCCGGCTGTAGCTGCTTTGCGATGGGTGGTAGTGGTGTCCTCTCGTTAAGCTTCATGTCGTGTAGCCTGGTGGCCTGCAGATCTATAACCTCATACACGTGCTCTGGTGCAACACTGTATACCCGCTTCAGTTCTAGTCTGTTCCTGGCGCTGTTAGAAGGAAGCAAGGAACGCAGCAGCTTTAGTGGTGGTATGTTTCAGCAAGCATCACTCAAAGTCCAGTTGTGTTGTTTAAAGCTGTTCGTCGCGAATAACCGTTAAAACAAGAAACAATTTTTTTTAAAGAAAGCTGACCGAGCCAAGATGGAGATAACTGTTTGGGTGTGATGACGATGTGTGGCTCAAATAATTAGTCATCTGCCGGGCTTATAAATTGGACCAAGGCATTAGATGCACAATAATATTGTAATAATACTAATTTAAACTGGGCCTATGTTGTACTTATGTCCCCAGATCATAATATGGTATATTGCAATCTCAATTAAGTGAAGGAAATATTATCCGATCTTCAGCCAGGGCATTATACTCTCTTCTGTAAAATACATCCGTTCTTAGTATACACAACATTTACCGTAGCAACTACTTATACTTACTACAGAATTAAGGACACAGCCGCCAGCAAGGCTGCAAACACAGCGACACAACCGGCTGCAATTATAGGCGTGGTGGAACAGTCTGGCATTACCGGGGCGACCACTGAAAGGAATTTAAAATATTGATATGGTTATTTGTGAAATATAGTTTCATGGACAACAAGCTGTGAAGAGACTGTACAAAAAACTGCACGGTTGACAAAAATGTACTTTTAAAGTGGGCACAAGACATATGGCTCAGCTAGGTATTACTACGCAATGTTATAAACCGTTCTGTTATTCGGCGCGCTTGTCTACAGGTCTTTAAAAATCGTCTGCGGCAGCTGACAATGAATTTTGACAAATCAAAGTCGGGAAAGACATATATTCCGCTTTGAGCGAAGTGAGAAGATAACTGGAGCTAGATTAGGATGGATTGATTTGAGGCAACTCCCAACCGAACGCCGAGGAATTGTTGGGAGCACAGTCTTGAAAAGATTCTAAAATGTTTAACAGGGTCTTACCCACTGGTGTTGGTGCCTCTGTCCCCGGTGGCTGGATGCTCAGTAGAATCTCGGTGGTCCTGAAAGAACATTTTCGTACAAGTGTCATGGTTGGGAACCACATTTTAGCCTCGTTACGAAATTTCTATTCATAATACATTGTTTTTTAGTTGGCAAAGATACGGTGATTTTTTTCATTCAAAGTTCCAATTCAGGCTTCGCTTGCAAAAAAATCTCCGCATCGAGAGTCGTCTTTACTCATTCATTCACCCATCTTTCCGTTCATTTTCAAGATTATTATTAATCATTCATTCATTCATTCATTCATTCATTCATTCATTCATTCATTCATTCATTCATTCATTCATTCATTCATTCATTCATTCATTCATTCATTCATTCATTCAATCATTTGTTCATCCACACACGCATTCCTGGAGTGAACTAAATTAATGTACTTCTGATAACAGTGATAAAACCCCATACCCCGTCTTTGCCGGCTGTCCTCTGTCCTGTGCCTGTATGACAAGATGGTGTAGGTAGTCGTCTGTGCTGTTAAACACGGTTCCGTCGGAGTTCACATGAAGGGAGACGTTGGGACCGGTCATTGAGATGAAGCCGAGCAATCCGTACTGGAAATGCAGTGAGACAACATGGTCAACATACGCGCAGTAAAGACATAAACTGCGTATTACAAACAGTACTGCCGCCTTAAGCAAGTTCAAATGAACGGACCTAAAAGGTAGTTTGGTGTCCAAATCTAGTTTAGCTGCGGGGTACCGGTCGTTTCCGTTTGCGGATAGGACGAAAGAGTCCCGGCAGCTAAAATAAGTTTAGACACCAGACTATATAGACGGGACAGGACCCTTCGGCGTAACACACAAGCTTCGCAGGAACGCTGCGTGGCGGCAGCTGGCTATATTACACCGAACGACCTGTTATACCTAACCATTGAACATCTAAAATGTGTCCGTACGTACCCATGTGTCGGCTCGATTCAGTATGCTGTAGTCCACCTGCCCGTCTGGCCCCGTGTCGCTGTCCTCGGCGGAGACGGTAATCAGATGGACGGGGCCGGACTCCGCCAGCAAACCTTCCCGGGTCAACTCTACAGTATAGTTATCTACACAAACAGGGAGAAACAAATTAAAACAACAACTACAACAACAAGAAATTAAAACAACAAAGTAATGGGAACGGAACATGGAGTCAGTACCTCTGTAGCAAAGTGTAATTACATTGTCTGGGGCTACTGATAAAACTGCACTGTTGATAGGATCATTACTAGTTTAGTAGATTTATAATGCCGGCAGATAGTGAATTAAAAAAAAATAGAAATGGACCACGAGGCAGATGTCTTGACAGTCGATATGGGCAAAGATTAGTACACATGTATATATATATCTGTTTTCTGAGATTCATTGTGTGTGTACATGTGTGTTGTGTACATTATCAATGTTGTCTGCCAAATGATAATAGAATTCTTTTGACTTTTGACTATTGCGCACCCTGAGGGAACCGCGGCGCGTGCTTGTTGGTACTGATGAAGGGAACAACGATGCGGAGTTTCAGCTCGTCTGCCCGGAGGTTAGGGTTCATGGCGTCTTCCACACTCAGGGTGATCTGCAATTCAAGGTCAACCAAGATTTGCACTAAGTTAAGGTCACAGAGAAGCAACCATCTGAGAGTAGAGTAAAAGTCTAACTAGAAAGGTAACATTTGCAAAGCAAATTCATAATGTTTACCTTTGCATAAGGTCTGCTCTGTTAATTCTTACTCAAACACATTCACAGAGTCCAAATCTCTCCTGCTATAAAATTGCAAGATGTAACCCGACACTAGTTACCATGGTGACAGACGTCTGGTTCAGGTCATTGACCTTATTTGGAGAAGAAGAAGAGGAAACTGAGTAAAAACAATGTGTTTTGCTTTGGTAAACATAAAAGGCACGCAAGTTCTTGACTGATCGAAACAGCGTCTTAATGCTACGTTGTATACATACGTACATTGACGAAGTAGTCCTCTGTCAACTTTGGGAACTCAGACGATATGTTGAGATCGCCGGTTTGACTGTTGATTGTGAAGAGATGAGTTGGACTGTCGAGCCGCATGTCCAGAACTGCCGCAATCCGGTACAGAGGGACGGCGTTAGTCCCGACATCCTCGTCTGTAGAGGACACCCTGGTCACGTGGGTTCCCACCGAGGTGTTCTGAAATTTCATAAATTATGAAATGAAATCTTACCTCAAAATGATAGACGGTTCAATTTGTCATATACAAAATAATCAGCAACGTGAATTATATTTTACATAAATATCATTACATATTCTAAATCAATGTACTAATTCTAGCCATCAATAGTTGAATCGATATATCAATAAATTTCACTGCTTTATAACGTCAAATAAGCACATTCAAGTCTACATGGCCATGAGATTCTGACCACGACAACAAAAGTCTACATCATCTAAATCGATAACAATGCCTACCGAAAAAAGGCGGATCTCCTCCATTGTGAAGTTGTCTCGGACGAATTTGGGCGGATTATCGTTCGCGTCGTCCACCCAGATATCCAGGAAGGTCATGTTGGTTTTGGGGTTGACGACGGCGCCGTCAGTTGCCTTAACCGTCAGGTTGTAGAAGTCCCGCTCCTCCCGGTCCAGGGAACGGTTCGCCCACACTTGCACGGACTCTTCCTCTCTGCGCAGTTCGAACATACCTGGCAAAACGGTGGCGAAGTGGTCTTGTGGTTAGGTTAGGTTAGGTTAGGTTAGGTAAGGTTAGGGTTATTGAATCTAAAGGTTTTAGGCTCGATTCCCTAGCAGGATACAATGATGTGTCCTTGGGAAAAGTATTTTACACCTATTTTCTCTCTAGAGTCAGCCAAAAATGAGTACCTAGCTTCAGTCAGAGATGTCTTTTCCGGAGGGACGTAAAGGCGAGGGTCTTGTGCTGGAGGACAAACGACACTTGCTACAAAGTTCCAATCTAGAGCATGTCGACAGAGCCTACGCGAGGCCAGTAATGTATTGTGCATAGCACTTCGGCAGAACGTCTCGTTACGGCATCTGTAGTTCCATCTATAGTTTTCAAACGTTGTGCAGGAAAATATTTGCTCCGCAACAGGCAGAATTCCCATGCAACGCTCTCCAAACATCCAACGAAAACCATAAAAATTCCGGGCCTCAAGCAGTTGCAGTACGTTCTGCCGACGTGCTCAATCTATGTCCTAACCTTACCATAATCCTCTACGATCCTGTAGGAGACCTCTCCGTTGACTCCCGGGTCGGCGTCCGTGGCCATGACCGTGAACAGTTCCCGTCCTCTGACGTTCCACGTCTCGATGTAGTGTTCACTCCGGTTGCTGTTCACAAACATCGGTGTGTGCCGGTTGGAGTCCGTGATGTTGAACACGACCTGACCAAGACACAGAATGCCAGTTCGTTGGGAAGCCCAATGCAAAATTCAATCTTGAAGGTTCTGTTTCTTGACTGGAGTCGGAAAATGGAGTCTTTTTATAGTGATTCAGATATGCCCACCAACCAATGTAAGTCCACCAGAATCGGATGTATATTTCATGTACATGTAGCCTACCGATGATTTTTTTCCATCATATCATTGATCAGTTTTGTCTTTGAAATTAGATCTAGATGACAAAGTAGATAGAAAAAGACAGTGATTATAACTAAAGGTAGATTTGCCTAAAATGTTACGTTGAGAAGGTTAATCTCAGGCCACGACGTCACACTGCAAAACAAATCAATCTTTAAGCGTGCCTTTAGGCCTATGTAAAGGTTTAATTTTCCGATTTTATGGATGCTTTAGGTGTGCTTAAAGATTGAATTTTACGTAGTGTATTCGTGAAACTGAATTAAAGACTAATTCGATAGAAATCTTACCTCGACTGACGTGCGCCTATGGTCTCGTCCGTGGTCGTAGGCCGTTACTATGGCGACGCAGTGCTCCCGGTGTGTCGGGTTGATGCTGAGGAGAGACTGTCGTGTTGTCATGATGCCGGCGGTGACGTTCACCAGAAACAGGTCACCGCAGATACCGCCTGGGGAAAGCGATAAACAGAAGACTTGGAAATGATACTGAGATACATGAGAACGAACTTTGATAATAATTCTTTTGACATTTGTTACAAATGTTCTCTTTTCCGTTAGAAAGAGCTCATGATACAGTATCTAAGTCCTTTCTCATCAGCGTTAGTCCAATTCAAGTCACCAAGGTGACCAATTATTTGAGTCACACATCGTCAGTACACTCGTGCCACCCATTCAGCTAAGTTTTTATTCAAAACAACAACAACAACACGAAGACAAAGTGACGCTGCACTCAAGTTGTGCGACTTATTTTGCAGGCACCACTTAGCAAAAATACATCGCAGACCTGGATTCTCTTCGTAGGACACAGTTCCGTTCTCCCCGAAGTCAGCATCTGTTGCCGTGAGGGTGAACACACTGGTGTAGTTCGGCGTGTCCTCCGCCACCTTCTGCCGGTACGGCGTGCCCAGGAACACCGGCCGGTTATCGTTCACGTCCGCTACAGTGACGGAGATCTCTGCTGAGGATGAGTAGGGAGGGTCTCCGCCATCCACGGCCAGGACGGTGAAGTTGTAGTAGGAGACTGACTCGCGATCGAAGTTGAACGTTGACGATATGTCTCCAGTCAGCTCTGAAACGCAGTTTCATAACGGGGTAGGCAGAAAATATTATTATCATACTGGAAAAGTATGGCGTAGAGCTATGCTTCAGTTATTACTTCTTTCTTTACTTCTGCCAAATCGTTCGTGGTGTAACACAAGTTCTGTTTTCACAAAATGTAAGCTGTTTAAGCTGGGTTCTTTAAGTGCTCACAATGACTGGCCGTAACCTCTACCAGACACCTGTGCATAAACATGACTGAGAACACTTAAGGTTCAAACCACGGACTTGTGTAAGAGGTAACGATGGTAGACCAGTGTTATTTGTTTACCTCCGATTGTGAAATTGTCTGCTCCGATCAGGGAGTGCCGTACTCGACCGTTGGTTCCAATGTCGGCGTCGGTAGCAACAGCAGTTAAAACCTACGCAAAGAACAAGTCAGGTGAAAATGAGCACCCTGCTTAGGCTAGGGATGGCCCTCAAATAGGGCCTAGGGACGACGGCTTTGTCAATAGCAATATTGTTCTTCAGCACAGAGAAATAAGGACACGTAGTCCTTCCTATGAATTTCAACAATACCAACCAGTTTGTTGTCGTCGTTTTCAGTAACGCTGACGTTGTAGTGAGCATGTGCGAAGATCGGACCATTGTCGTTCACATCTATAACATGAACGCTGACGGTTGCAGTGGCAGATCGAGGGGAAGTTCCATTGTCTGTGGCCTGACGTAGAACACATAAAGGAAACTCATAATTGCCAAACTCATAAAAGCCTTGTGGGTAACAATTCAGTACTCTGAAGATCACTGTGATCATGGATCGATTTAAGTTCTTTGGTGTCAATGTCAAATATTTACTGATAAGCACAATAGTAATAGGAAGACAGGATGTCGTTTCACACATCGCAATACTCTTAATTAAAAGTATTTTATTAAAAGTTATGTAATTACCTGAACTACGATAACGTGGATGGGATCCGTCTCCCTGTCAAGACTTCCGTTCAGCAGAACTGATCCTGTCTCCGGGTCCACCTCAAATGTGTCGTTTCCTGTCATGGGATACGGAGTGGGAATCAGGTTATTACCTCCGAGGAAGAAGACATCCTTCCACCGGAAGGTTCTGTTTTCGGTCGTGTTTTTGTGTTCACAGCTATAACTCACGGTTATATTTTGTTATATTAGTAGTCTGAATGTAGAATATTCGTAGTCTTTTTTGAAATCCGTATGTTAAGGTTTCTAAATGAAATAATAATTCGACACCCCCGTGCTAGAATGTGGTATGGTATTGTCTATCAACAACTGTTTTCCATCTCAAACCTTAACCCTAACGAATCAAAGTTTTTATGCCAGTAAATGAATTCTGAACTGACCTTCCACTTTACTGTAGACAATCCTGGCATTCTCACCCACGTCAGCGTCAGAAGCGAAGGGGCCGGCTATGGTGTGACCCATAGGAGCATCCTCTGAAACATCTGCATCGTAGTCATCCCTGTCGAATTCTGGGTCGTTGTCATTGACGTCTAGAACTCGAACAGTAACCTGGACCATGGATGATGAAAAGATCACGGGGACTCGTAAACATTACAATCGGATTTTTACGTATACCTTGAAGCACGCGTATCGATTTTATGTGAAATAAAAATATAAGAAATATGTCTGGAGATCTTACCGTTGCGTACGCCTTTCGAGAACCAACACCTGATTCAGTCGCCACGGCGATCAAATAGTGTTCTGCGATGTTTTCTCTGTCCAGTAGAAGCCGTGTTACAATCTCGCCCTGGAAGAGAAAACAAACTGCCTCATTGGAATGCCTACTACTAGATTTAAACCGTCTTTCCGTCTAGATTTAGACCGAAGGCGATACAAGATAAAGGTCAGTAATAACCTCTTTGTTGTTGGAACTTTGCGTGTTGTTATATGTCTTACCGTGTTATTGTCGATGATGAAGTTTTGGCCCATCTGTGCTGACTGAAAACTGTACAGGACCTCTTGGTCGCTTGAAACATTAACGTTCCCGACAAGCGTGCTTGGTGCGGAGTTCTCGATGACGTCAAAGTTGTAACTTTCCCTCCCGAACTCCAGGCTGACCAGAGAGGAGCCGTCCTCCACGTGAACCCGGAGTGTCGTGTTGGTGAGGTGAAGCCCGTCGGTCACCGCGATGGTCACATTTCTGGTCACCACGACGTTAGGCAGCCTGGGAGGTACGGAAAGTAAGTATTTTACGGTCACCTTTTCATTCACAACTGTGGTAAAACACTAACTTCGGTCGACTTCGATTAAAGTTACCTTAGACGTGCTCTTGACGCTGTTTAAAGGTCAAAGGTGACCTGGAAGCCTGTACCGCCTCCCGGTTGGCTACCTTTATTTTTTAAGTCGAATTATCAGTCTTATTGTGTATAAGGCATCTGCTTGAATCGGTGGCATTCAAGCGGAACAATATTTTCTTGTGTCTGCCTAAAATTATCTGCTATAAGGGGGTACAAAATGTATTTACCTTTGGTTTAGGACGACAACGCCTTCATTGTTGATGCCGAACAGCCCGTCCTGATCCCCGGCAATGCTGTAGGTGACTGTGCCGTTAACATCCGGGTCCTCGACAGCAAATATGGCGACCAGAGTACCCGGATGTGATCCACCCAGCAAGGTGACTTCGTCAGGAGGGTCAACGAACGTCGGCGGCACGTCGTTTACGTCACCTGTGTATGTAACATGGGATGGGTGAATTGGTTAACAACAGCATCTTGTTTTACATAATTATGCATTCACAATTGCAGCAATAATATTGACGACATAGAGAAGTATAGTCGCTAGAAAATTATATTAAGCATTAGTATTTGACCATATTAAAGGATTACGTACCAACTGACAAAAATATGGTGACACTACTTGACAAGGCAGGTGTTCCCATGTCAGTAGCAGTGATGCTCAGCTCATAAGTTTCCCTCTCCTCGCGGTCGAGAGTCCCGTTACTCACAATGGTCCATCGTTCGGTGGAGTTCGGTAGCATTACAGCAGAGAACTCATCGCTGTTGACATGCAGCTGAACCTCCCCATTTACGCCGTCATCAGGGTCCGTCACTGTCATGGCGAACAGACGAGATCCGGCCGGGAGGTTTTCCGTGGTTCTGATTGGCTCTCTGGTCAGGAAATGACGTAGCGTGTCGTCATCGAAGGAAGGGGCGTTATCGTTGACGTCAGTGACCGTGACGTTGACGAAGGTAAAAGTGGTAAGGGACTGTAAACCCCGATCCTAAGGAAACAGTGAGTCGCAGTTTCAGTTTTTGTCAAGTTTCACAGACGATAAGATTGCAAAAGATCCAATTACTACTATTCATAACCTTCCCCTGGCCACCTGCCAAGGTGGGCTGAAGTTCGGGAACAGTCTAACCGCGACTATCTTTCTATACGAATGGAATCAAATTTGAGTTAAATCTGAGTCGAATTTGACCCCTGAACACGTCTCCAACACTTCCGAACAACAGCTAACTACCGACCAACCATAGCCGATCCTCCCGTCCGCACCTGAATGTTTTGAACATTTCAAACATTCGGACGCAGACGGACAACAGCCGACCTCGCCGAACACCAGCCACCTTGCTCCTGACCTACTCTTAACCATGGTTGGGGGAGTTCGGCAGTGTTTCGGGAGGCTATATTCAGCTATGTGTGACATGGTCTTGACCGAGGAGGCGCAGGCTTTTCTTATCTAGATCTAGAAACAGTTTCCCTACCTGTGCCCTGATCGTTACTGTGTACCAGCTCACAGCTTCCCGGTCCAACAGATCCCCGTTGACTAACGTCAGGTTTCCAGAGGACGGGTCCAGTTGGAACACGCCGTCACCTCCGTCCACGATAAAGTGGTCCACCTTACCTACAATATAAGGATTGCAGCAAGTATTTAGATTTACATGTACATTTGTAGTATTTACACTATTTACCTTAGAAAAAGATGATCATGTTTACAAGGTCGGAAAAGTCTGTGGACAACATAAATCAATAAGTCGTTAATAGATCATAATGATATTTGCCATGTTGCTAGGTTGTGGTAAAAAGCTAAAAAAAAAAGAGATTTTGGGCCCCTGGCGACTTCCAAGGTACTGCAGCTGAACCTCTTGTTTTGAATTTTGGTGTTCTGTATAAGCCACGATCACGACTTTTAGGAGCATGTCATACTTGCGTCTGATTGTCAAAGACCACAAGAAACCGTTTTCGTATCACCATCCATTCCCCTCCATCGAATCAACGTCTCAGGGTGAACAGAACATTTTTGCTCAAGTTGTTTTATCGTGCATGATACAAAGAATGATAGCTTACCATCTTGTCCAGAGTCCAGGTCTGTTGCCAATACTATTCCAACAAGCGCGTCGTCTGTGGAGTTTTCAGAGACGAAGAAATGAAAGTGTTCCGGACTGAACTGCGGTGGGTTGTCGTTCTCATCCTGCAGTTCAATAGTTAACCGCGCTCTGGCAGTTCTGTGACCCGGCATGCCGTCCCTATCCATGGCCACTACTGTCAGACTGTAGCTCTGTACTGCTTCGTAGTCTAAATTTCCGTCAACATAGATCTGTCCTGTTGTAGAATTCACCCCAAAGTCACTTGAACCCCCTCCATCCAGGCGAAGAGCGACTCTGCCGTTGATGCCATCATCCTCATCAGTAACTGCCAGTTCTGGGATCTGCAGCGTTGTGATGATACAGAAAATGACAAAAAAATCTGACATTCCGAACCTTCGGGTAGTAGTAATATAACGTACGACCAAAGCAAATTCCTCATTTTACGCGTCCGAACTGGACACATAAAATACTAAAAGGTTCCTACCTGAGGCGTCGCCAAAAAGCCCGTAAACTACCCGGCAGAGCCCCTTTTTGTAACCTAAGCACATACGAGGAAGAACGCGAAGCGACTCACCACCGTCACAGGTTCACCTGGCGGCGTGTTCTCCCGGACCGTCCCGCGCAGGGTCATGTCTTCAAAGACCGGGTTGTTGTCATTGATGTCTTCCAGTGTGATGACTACTAGGATCTGAAACAAAAACGAAACGAAGTTGTTGTTTTTTTGTTTGGAAGACGATGGCTACATCTTTCGTCCAATTCTGACACGCATCCATACTATCACAATGATTGCTAATGGTATCACACTATAGGAATCGGTTGTCTAAGGTATGGATATGTGGTTTGCATGGAAGTAAAGACGACACGTACCAGACTCTGCCTAGCACAGCCGGAGTCTGCGATGGGTTCCACAAAGAACTCATGAGAAGATTCCTTCTCCCGGTCCAGACCTGAGATAACTGTGATCTCACCCTGCGGAAACAACAGAAAACTAAAACGACCAACCCGTGAACTTTTCTTCGATCAAGGACATTAGAAACTGTGATCTCACCGTGACAATACTTGCTGATTGCCGATTGTAAGCGTCTTTTACTGTAAAATATTGAGAAATTTATAAAATATTGAGAAATGGTTTTAAGTGATTGTCTCGGTGGCCTCCATTGGTAATCTATATGGCACCAAGAATATTTCTTCCTTGTATGACTGCTGTACTTAAAATTATTTCAACCATAAATGTAAAATGCCTCAAAATCTCCTTTACGTACTACTACAAAATGAAACCACCGCGAATTCACATTTTGTATATCCTTGAAAAGGAAGCAATAGACTTGGAGAAATTGGAAGCTATTACTTACGGTTTCATTGTGGACGTCGAAGTATCTCTCGTTGAGTCCTGACGGGTCCTGCATGACGTAGGTGTAGATGATGGTGCCGTCTCCAGCGCTCGCCGGGACAGTGGCGTTCACAATGGCAGTTCCTGCGGACACAGGCGACTTCGTGATCATCGACACAAAATAATGCATCGATCAACAGAAACAAAGTCTGATCCCTCAACACTCAGATAGCTTTAAACAAAGTCTAGAGCTAGAATTACAAGGGTTAGGTGTGACAAGTCGATCGGTGTAATATAGCCAGCTGCCACCGCGGCGTGCGCCTGCGAAGCTGGTGTGTAACGCCGAAAGGCGGTTATACCGGCTATACAGATACAGATAACACCGGAAAATACTGCCCAGTGCCAAATACACAAAAAAATACAACAACTGGTAAACCATTAATTATGTTATAGAATTTCAGAAATGTGCGCAAGCACTAAGGCCCTGTTCATGGCAATCATGCTAAGCCGCTTGCAAATCGGATTGCTTGACGTCACCTTGTTTTTTGATTAAACAACAAGGGACGTAGTTTGAACTGGATTGCAGATGAACGCTATTTCGACGACTCGTGCGCTTTCGGGTCAGGTCTGAGGTATGCGCTTTGTCTGAATCCGATTCGCAGGGCTTAGTATAAACAGGGCCTAAATGTACGAAATTCATACAGACCGATCGCGACGTCCTCTGGGACGCTGACCTCCAGTCTTGTCTGGTTTCCCACCGCTTCATTGGACAGGAGAGACAGGTCAAGAGCTGTGTCTGCGACTCGAGGTGGTTTGCCGTTGTCCTGCACTCTGATCTAGTGGGGAAACGGGGACAAATTTAACTTTTCGTTCAAAAGTTGTCGATACAGTCTCCCACACGATAGCAAAACGATTTCATAGCCTTCTGGTGAAGCCAATCAAGTGACACTTGAAAGCAAATAAGTTGAATGCGATTACTTAAATCACCTTTAGAGGGATGTGCTCTCTGATGACCTTGAAGTTGCTGATGACCGTTATGACCCCTGTGACCTCGTTGATGAAGAACAACTGAGAAAAGTCCTCGTCGCCCTCCGTCACGATGGTGTAGGTCAAGGTCGCGTTCTCCCCCTCATCCGGGTCCTCGGCTCGGACCAGTCCAACTATGGAGTTGATGGGGGTGGACTGCAGGATGTACTCGCTACTCCAAGTTTGCACGATGGCCGGGGGGTTGTCGTTAATGTCCGTCACGGTCACGGTCACGGAGGCGAAGGTGACGTCATACCTGGGTTCATGACGGTAATCGTACAGGGATAAGTGTACATGATGTTGTGAAGTTCATACATTTCGCCTGTGTCTCAATTTACAAGAGCAGTGTACAGATTTCGTATGTTTGTCAGGTGATGCTTTAAACAATGTTTAGAGTTAGATGTCTTCATTCTCACATAGGATCCACCTAGGAAAAATGACCTGTCTGCCTTCTCGTCTGTCGCATTGACAGTAGACTCCAACAGAGTTAGATGTTCAACGGTTAGGTGTAACAAGTCATTCGGCGTACCTGCAAAGCTGGTGTGTTACACCGAAGGGCGGTTATACCGGCTATGCAGATACAGAAGCTGGTGGGTTATGCCGAAGGGCTATACAGAAACAAATACAGAAGCTGGTGTGTTACGCCGAAGGGTGGTTATACCGGCTATACAGATACATAAGCTGGTGTGTTACACCAAGGGTGGTTATACCGGCTATACAGATACAGAAGCTGGTGTGTTACGCCGAAGGGCTGTTATACCGGCTATATATACAGATACAGAAGCTGGTGTGTTACGCCGAAGGGTGGTTATACCGGCTATACAGATACAGAAGCTGGTGTGTTACGCCGAAGGGTGGTTATACCGACTATACCGATATAGAAGCTGGTGTGTTACACCTAAGGGTGGTTATACCGGCTATACAGATACAGATGCTTCAGTAGGGTGTTTGTACAGATCACCTTGTTGCCATGGCGACCCTGAAGCCCAGCGCGGCCCTGTCCTCCCGGTCCAGCGGGTCGTTGGGGGTCAGGACTCCGCTGGAAGGGTTGATAGAGAACCTGTCGGCGTCCCCTCCCGGCACCAGGGAGAACTGCACCCCGGAGAGAGACCGGTTCGCCAGGCTGCCCAGGTCCGCGGAGACTGCACAGACAAAAAAAAGATATGTCAGGTGATGAAGAAGTTTCTCCTTTTATGAACCAAGTCATCACGACGCGATTGCCTTAAGAAAGTCAGAAGAGTCTGATGACTTTTTTCAAAGATCTGTAAACATATCTAATATAATTTACTTGTATTCCAGTTTTCCTCCATGGTGACGTAGAACGAAGTTGTGTTGCAGAGTCCATCCGGGTTCTTGTACAGACTGACGTCACTGGTCAGGTTCACGTGGATGACGTAAGCAACCAAGATGGCGCCCGAGGAATCTAGTTCTGCCACGGGGATGGAGTATCTGGAACAGTTACATGTCTTATAAGTGGGAGAAAACAAAAATTGCAGATACAATAAAAAGGGTGATGTCGAATAATGCTAAATGTTTTGATAATAGCCCTCAGTTGCCAACGCGCGCAAGGCCTGGTGTTAACAGACAAACGGCGACTTTTGGATGGTGAAATGACCTACCGTATGTTGAAGTCTAGCTCTGACGTCACCAGGACCCTCCCGTCCGTCTCCAGGGTGAAGACGTCATACGTGCAGCACATCAGCACGTACGTCACGTTAGTGACGTCACTGGTCTGGAGCGTTGTCATGTCAACCACTGTGTTGGGAGAAAATATAAATATTGAGATGATAAAACTAGGAACCACAAGAGAGGCGTGCGGCTCATTTTCTTTATGTCCGGGTTTATTCATTGGCCACTGTCTTCAAAGAAGAAGTTAAACCCTCCAGTAATGTACGTAGAAATATTTTCTATAATTTGATATATAGACTAGACACCTTTTACCTTATTATAACTGTGTGTTCCCTTGTAATTAGGCTTCAGGCAAGAGTGTGCAATTAAGAATGGATTGAATTATACTGTATAGGCAGTGTTTTGGTAGGTTAATATTACAAAATATGTCTTATCATTTTGATTGTAGAAACCGACGAATTGAGCACATTATGTTGTT